TGCTAGATTTGTCAGAAATATCAAAATTTTCTATTTGAAGTTTCTGATTTCCAAAAAAACCCACTTGTAAAACAAAATAAAACTGGAATTTTTCAACATTTTCACATTAAAAATGAATATTTTTCCTTTTAAAATCTTTTATTTGATATATATGTGAAATTCAGGTAAGTACAAATACCATTTAATAACATGTACTCAATCCTTGACCTTATGGTGGATTTAGTATTGACAAAAATGTTGTATTTTTATTTTTTAAAAATTTTTAATTTGAGTGTAGTTAACATGCAATGTTACATTAGTTTGGGGTATACAACATAGTGATTTAGCAAGTTTATACATTATGCTATACTCACAAGCATAGCTACCATGTTATCATACTACACTATTACAATATCATTGACTATATTCTTTATGCAGTGCCTTTTATTTCTGTGGCTTATTCATTTCATAACTCGAAACCTGTATCTCCCACTCCCCTTTACCCATTTTTCTCATTTCTCCACCCCTTCCCCTGTTTATAGTCTGATTCTGCTTTTCGTTTATTGTTTTTTTCAGATTCCACGAGTGAAATCATATTTGTCTTTCTCACTCTGACTTATTATTAGCATAATGCCCTCTAGATCCTTCCATGTTGTTGCAAATAGCATGATCTCATCCTTTTTTACAGTTATGTAATATTCCTGTGTGTGCACCTGTGTACACGTATTACATCTTCTTTATCCATTCATCTATCAATGGACACTTAGGTCAGTTCCATATCTTGGCTATTGTAAATGATGCTAAAATAAATATAGGGGTGTGTATATCTTTTTGAGTTAGTGTTTTCATTTTTGGGTGGGGTAAATGCCCAGTAGTGGATCAGACAGTATTTCTATTTTTAAATTTTATGGAACCTCCATACTGTTTTCCACAGTGGCTGCACCAATTTATATACACCAACAGTGTATGAGGGCTCCTTTTTCTCCACATCCTTGCCAACTGTTATTTCTTCTCTTTTCGATTTTAGTCATTCTGACAAGAGTAAGGTGATAGCTCATCATGGTTTTGATTTGCATTTGAGCATCTTTCCATGTGTCTTTTGGACATCTGTTTATCTCCTTTGGAAAAATGTCTATTCAGGTCCTCGGGCCTTCTTTTAATCGGATTGTTTGTTTTTTGAGAAAAATATTGTAACTTTCAAACATTTAAGCTAAATCTGATTTTCCCATGGGCTAGAAGGTTATATCTGACATTCTATGACTTACCCACTACTTTTAATCAACTGAAAATGACATAAAATTAGTTTAATCTACACATTGCTTTCTAATATATTTTACTCAGAGAATCGCAGTATTCATATAGAATTTTAATAATTCAGTATCATAGTATGTACCTACACAAGAAAAGAACTCTTACTTACATTGTGTCAATCACTATTCTTGTCACTTTAAATACAGTTGATCCTATTATTCCTGGATTCTGTATTTGCAAATGCCTACTCAGTTAAAATTTATTTGTAACCTCATAATCAATACTCTGGTAAGTAAGGAAGTGAATCTGTGTAATTACGCATACACAGTTTAGTACTAATTAGCTCTCTATCATGATCCCTTCTTCCCCATCCCCTTCTTCCTTAGTAGTAAACTTTCTGGCACATAGCCACCCAGAATGGTTTCCAAGTTTCCTTCAACCAGGTATTTCCATAAGAAAAACCAGGGGGTAGGTAGAAGTAGGAAATACAATTTCTCAAAATGTCCATGAAGGAAAGAGACATGCCTTTCTTCACCTTGCTTTCTCTGGTAGGAATGTGATTACGACGTTGAGCGGCCATCTTGGATCACAGGTGGAAGTGTTATCATGAGGACGGTGGAACAACAGGCTAGAAGTCTGGATACCTAACACTGTGACAATAGCCCAAGCCCCGGACTGACAACCTCCAGACTTCTTTTATGAGAGAAAAACAGACCACTAGCTGAAGTTCCTGTTATTTTGGACTTGATGTCACCTGCAGCCAAAACTCATTTTAACTGATACAAAAAGTCATGCAGAAGTATAGGGCCATTGCTTAGAGTTATACAGAGTAGAAGTCCACTGGATAAGGCACCAAGATGGCTGATGCGTAAACGGGGGCTGAAACCCAACCTACCCTCTCCTTTCCAAGCTTTGAACAGTGTTTTGTTTACCAAGAGCCTGATAAACCGGTGGCCTTGTAGAAAAGTGAAATTTTGTCTAGAAACAGAACTCCAGAGCAGCATTTTCCAAAATTTCCTTTGCATACTCCTGGAGGCATTGGAAATGATTTTAGGTAGTCTCCTTAATGTACTTCAAAATTTAATTTAATACTAAATTAAATGGGCTTATATATTTCATGGTAGTTACCACTCCATTCTGCAAGTTCAGACCTCAGTGCTAGAAATGGCAAGAAGCAAGGAAGGAGACTATTGAAAGGCAGGAATAAAAGAAAACAGAAGCTCATCAAACATTATGTCATTAGGCAGTGTTTTATGGTGGGTAGAATACAAACTCTGGAGCTAAACACAGCCAGGAGGCCTGTGTTTAAATCCTGGCTCTCTGTAACTAGCTGTGTTATTTTGGGTGTGTTTCTTAACCTTATTGTGTGCCAGTTTTTGTAACAGAACTAACACACAAGGATGGTGTGAGGATTTGAATAATTATTACAGTGCCTGACACATAATGAACACTCAATGAACGTAAGGTATTACCACCATTCTGGTAATTATTTAGCAAAGAAACCCAAAACTAGCCATGCTTGTTGAAAGCTTTTTTTTTTTTTTTGCCAGGAATTGTACATATCTGACCTTACTTTAGTTATCAGGAAACTAAGGCTTAGAAAAATTCAGTAACTTTCCCAATGTTATGCAACTAATTCTAGCCCAGCCAGAATTCAAACTCAGATAGATTGGATTCCAAAGCCACGGTTTTTTAACAAAGATAATTAAGGACAAGGCCTGCAAGATTTCACAAGCTTCCTCTTGTATACTCTTTCCCCACTCATAGAATGTAGTAGCAAACTCTTTCACACTGCAAGGAGTGGAGGATGGGTAGACTGGAGAGACTGAGAACAAGAACTGGAAGGGTGGGAGAAGTCTTGGGAAGTGGCAAGAGTGTTCAGCCTGAGCCAAAAATCCGGCTGAGTCCCTGGGCCCCGTGGCAAAATGAGAGAACATGGGAAGCTGACCAGACCTGAAAAATGCCTCTTGGTGATTTATATGAAGCAGTGGACTCTCAAGATAAGTTTCAGTTCTATTTCTCAGTGCTTCTAAAATACTGTTGCATCGTGAAACACAAAATGAATCCTGTAATTCCACAATTTTATACTTTCTCAATTATTACTTATCTGATGGCTTTGAAGTAAAGAAAGGATTTAGTCATCTAAATTATTTCTTTTTTTAGAGTCCACGTCACACCTGTTAGGCAAGGAATCTTTGCCTTTATTGCAAAAATGTTATTTCAACAAAACTTTGAAAATGTTGCAAATCGGCTGCTTTGGTTTTGCCAGTTTGCAAAAAGTAACTTAACCAGTTTCTTTTTTTTTTAAAGATTTTATTTATTTATTTGACAGAGAAAGACACAGCGAGAGAGGGAACACAAGGAGGGGGAGTGGGAGAGGGAGAAGCAGACTCCCTGCCGAGCAGGCAGCCCGATGCGGGACTCGATCCCGGGACTCCAGGATCATGACCTGAGCCGAAGGCAGTCGCTTAACCAACTGAGCCACCCAGGCGCCCCAAACCAGTTTCTTTTGAAACTAACTTTTAGGACTGAAAAACCTGTAACTATGTGTATGTTTCCTGAGATTATAACATTACGGGAGGGGGACACAAGTGCAGGAATTGGGTGGTAAATCTGACTCCAGAGGTTACGGATTAATTATGAGTTACTCCGAGCATGTGCCTGGGGTTTGGTGAGAACGAGCACTTGGCGGGCGCACCTCCTCTCTGCTTCAGTGCCCAAAGCTCTAACCCAGCCACTTTCGCTGCACGTGCTGGCTTGTGCGGAAGGCCCAGCATCCCTGTCCCGAGGGCGGTTGACTAACCCGGCCGCCCACGTGGCCTTGGATGGCCTCAGGAGGCTCTGGAGGAGGCCCGGCCACCGTTGCTCGCTCACCCGGTGTGGCTGCGACGCTGCAACCCACCAAGGTCCGCTCCGCCACCAGGAGCGCGCCGCCGGCACTGCTCTACTCCCAGGCAGCCGCCGCCTCCCGCCCAGGCCTACTTCCTGCCCATCGTGCGAGGGCATCCCGCTCGGGCCCGCTTCCCGCTGCCTCCGCCCGCCGCGCGCCCTGCATCCCGGGAGTCGCACAGAAGGAAGCCACCGAAGCGTCCCTGGAAGGTGGCGCTCGCCGCCGCACAGGCGCACTCCCTCCCCGGCGCATGCGTCCAGGGGCCGACCAGCGTCCCCGTCTCCGGTGACGTGGCGATGCGCAGGCGGAGCCAAGGTCGGTAGCTGGCGGGCGCGCGGGTGGGGGAGGAAGAGCGAGGTGAGCAGGGACGTCAGAGTGGAGAGCGGAAGGTCAGGGAGGCTCGGAGCGGAAGTGAGACTAGGGAGTCTGTCCGCCATTGTGGACCCGAGGAGCGAAGAGCGAGAGGGGGAAGAGGAGCCTGCACGCCGAAAAGAAGGGCCCCTTCCACGGACCCCCGAGCGCGAGGCCCTCTTTCTGGCTTCTGAACGAGCGGCGGCAGCGGCGGCGGCTGGATCAGTCACTCGGCGGAGGGCGGCAGCCAACTGCTGTGAGTGCACGGGGAGAGGCCCAAGCGGCGGCGGCGGCGGCGGCGGCAGCGGCAGCAGCTCTCGGGTTGCGGTGAAGAATGTCAGCCACTAGCGTGGATCAGGTGAGGGAGCAGAGGCCTCAGGCTCGGCGAAGGCCCGAGCCCTGGAGCTCCACCCTCGCGTGGGGCTTCGGCTCCTCCCCGTCGCCGCCGCTGCCGGCCCCATAACGGTGCCTCGGGCGCAAGTTGCTGCGGTCCTGCCGCCCGGGCCGGGGCGTGCGCCCTGCCCGGGAGCCTGCGGCCGAGACGGGCGGCTGCGGAGCCGCGCTGGGTGGGGGAACGACCGCTCCTAGGGGCCTTAGGGCAATCGGAGGGCGGCAGACGTGGGGCTGAGACCAGGCGACCTCTGGGAGACGGATTTCGAGTGGCGGGTAGGAGGTTTAAAGACTGGGGGTGGTTGGGAAATTGGAGGCTATGGAGGATGTGGTGGGTTTTCCTCCTACGCGGATTGTTGAAAATAACTTGTCTTTGATAAGGTCTTTGATTAACGCACTTTCTCTCTCTCTCTCTTTTTTCTTCTCATTACCACCTCTTTCGTCTTGCTGCGCAGAGACCTAAAGGGCAAGGAAATAAAGGTGAGTTTGAGTATTTTTATCTTATCTGCTAATGTTCGTCTGATGTCACTTTTAAACTTTGCCAGGGCCTTTTTTGTTTTTCTCCAGTTTTTTGTTTGTTTTGAAATGTATGTTTAGAGAAATACTCATCACGGCCAAACCAGCCAAATGCTACCCAAAACTTCGGTAGTTCCTTGCTTTGAAGCTACTTTTTTAGAAACCAAACTGTACACAAAAAGTTTTCTTAGTTGTATTTCAGTTAAGGAGGTATTATAAATGTGGTGACATTTCTTTAATTTTGCAGTTTATCTGTATTATGTAACTTCTACCACAAAAATTTCTCCAAATGCGTGCAGATAAGTGGACATTTTGTTCGACATTGCTGGGTTATGTTAAAAAATGCAACTCAAGTTGTATTCCATGTCACATTAGTGAAAACTGTACTGTTAACCACTGGTTCTAGTGAAGTCAGTTAAAACATGAGAGAGATCAAAACTGAACAGGCATGTCATCTTGCTTTGTAGCCCTGATTGCAAGGTGTGACTCAATCTGGTATTTTAGAAAGGACTGGGAAGGAAATAATTTGTGAGGTTTCTGCTCTGGCTATATGATTTTACTTTTCAGTTAAAAAAAAAAAACCCAAAAAACCATTGAAAGTAAAGCATTTAAAAAAAAAATAAGTGTTTTTTGTGTCTATTAATATGGAACAATACAGTCAACTGACTGAAACATTATGACATTAATCATGTGACATTAGTAAGTATAGAACAATAACTGCTTTCTTGGGATAGTGCCAATTAACATTACAGTGAATTATAGATTTATAACATTTTGTAATAGGGCTTGAAATTAGACTAAATAGAATTATGCTTCCTGTTTTTTTATTTCAGTTAGTAAAGTATTACCTAGAAAATAAGAGGTATAGTAGCTTTTTAGATGTAAGTTCAAGGTCTTTATTGGTGCTCTTTATATTAGGGTTTTTATTTGCCTTTGCAAATTTGAAAAGAATAGGTTCTGAGTACTCAGGTCAGTTAATTTTGAGTTGTAGTACAGTTTGAGAATTTGTACATACCAGATAAATGGCACTGTATCAGGTAGCATAAATTTATTTTTTTGATTAAAGATGTATTTTGGGGGAGTATATACACATTTAGAAGTTTTAGTTTTTACAGTTAAAAGTTCAATTTTAGGATTATTTTCCATTGTAAGCATAAACCTCAGAGTTTGATACTGTTTATTTTAAATGTTTTAAAATATTGTAAATTTCAAAAGAGTGATCCATTAATTTTTTTTTTTTGCTAGTTTGCTCATGAGGAAGTATATAGACTTGGAGATATATGAAATCTGTGGTCATTATTGCCTAGCATAAATTATTTTATCCTAGATCTGTGGGGAGGTGGCACTTTGCAAGGCTATTTGAAATGCTAAGTGTTTTGTGTTACCTGCTTTAAGGTAAGTATGCAAGTTCAATGAAGTACTTACTTGTTTGACAAAACAGAATAAAGCATCTACAGCATTGTAAGCCATTACTGAATTACTGTTAAGTTTGATTGTGATATAGTCATTTCCCTTAGGTATGTCCTAGTGATATCCCTGATACAGATATAAGTTATCTATGACAATAATTGCATATTGACATTTATAAGTAAGTATTTTTTGGGTTAAAATTTTTTTGATCCATCAGCATAGCCTTTTTTAGATGTATCTAGACACACACAGAGTATTTATTTGGATAGCTCTTTATTCCAAGAAATTTTCTTTCTTTCACCCTTATTGTTCCATTCATAGTTTTATCCATGGATAGAACGATGGACTGGGATTCCTAGGAGACCTGTGTTCTAATACTTCCTGTGGCTACTGACTTGCCAAGTGAGCTTGAACACATTGCGCCTTTTGGTCAGAATTTCCCCTCTATCTACAAAATAAAATTGATAATTCTAGCTGTAAATCCTATTGTATGTTATGATGAATTACAATTACAGTAGTCCACTGCTCTAGTTGCCATTTTATTTGCTGGATTTATTTTCACCTTCCTCACCTCATCTATTTTCAAGGTGCAGGGAGACTGTTGCCTAAGACATGGCAGGAGGGAAAAACTCTCCTGGCCTAAGAGTATTGGTAATCATTTAAGATGCTTTAAAATGGTAGATGCTGCAAGTGCACAAATACACATATACGTCACTTGTATTTTTATGCCCCTGCAGGGAGAATTACAAGGCGAAGGCAGCACCTGCAGTGAACTGATACAAGTAGCTATGTGTGTGTTTGAGAAAAACTACTGTGCCTTAGCTGACTTGGTTTTCAAGCCAGTAAAACTGTTTTACAGTTCTGTTTACTTTTGTGAAGCAGAAAGCAGTTATTTTTCTTGAACTACAGCCTGAATATTCTAAGAATATTGAGTATTAAACTTGAATTCAACTTCTCAAACATGAAAAATACATGTCGCTGAGGAGTTGTCAAAGTTGTGAAAGCATAATCCTTTTCAGATGACTTAATTTCAGAGATGCTGTGTTTCCTTTCTGAATTATCTTCATTTGACACTGTGAGCCTAACACCTGTCTTAGTGTCTTTGATTTTCTAAGTTTTTTCCTGTATATCCTTAAGGATTTAAGTGCACTAACAGCTAAAATTTTAAAGGAATTCTATATCAATCTCTTTGTAAGGCAAAAATGCTTTCGTAGTATAAGTAATAATTCTAGGTTTTCTTTTTTTGTAAGTTTGAGTTCTTTTTAGTTAATAGATTTTCCTTATGTTAACTATTAGAACTCTTTATTATCCTTGGCTAGGGTAGTACTGAAGGATAGTAGAAATTTAAGGATAATTTAACTATTGGTCCATAATTTATTTATTTTTATTGGTTCATAATTTGAAACTGATTTTATATCACTTTTATTTATTAATAACCAGAATTTTTGCTTGCCAGAATAAAAGGGTACCTCTCCTTTCCCTGCAGGCACCACAGATAAAAGTGTCAGATCCTGTACTCCTAGCAGCCTTGCTACCAGCTTCCTCCTGTGCCTTAAGTGTATAAATAGACGAATATATGGAAAGGAATTTATCTTTTCCCTCCTCTCGTCCCCCCATCCCTTCCCAACAGAGAGACAGAATTGTTTGGTAAAATTGCAGTTTAAAAGAATTAGGTTGAATTTGGCTGTATTTTAGTGTTTCAGAAAAGTAGTGGAAAATGCAGTGTTTTGGCAGTGTTCTTTTGTATCCTGTCTCCACACTCCCTCTGGAAATGATTGCAAAGCACTTTATTGTCATTTTAGGCTTCATTTTATTATTAATCCTCAAAACATTCCTTTAAGGAGATAGAGGGTATATGGTATTGTCGCTGTTTTTGTAGGTGGGAAAACATGATGCACAGATCTGTTGACTTTCCTAACTTGATGTAGTCAGGACCAGAGCAAAGAATCACCTGGCTCCTAAGGCCCATGTTCTATCTTGATTTGACTCTGCTTCATAGAGCAGAGGAAACAGGCGAAGAATCATGTAAGTCATCTGTTCTTTTTTCCCTGAAGAACTTGTACAGACTATGGGACTGGCTTGGATATCTTTGCTGTTTAATGGCTTTCAGTCTCCAAGACGTTAGATTGTCATTAAGTAATGTTCAAAAACTAAAGTCTTTAAAGACAGTTGAATTTCTTAAGGAAAGGTATGCTTCTGAAATTCAAGGGCTAGCCTCTTATTCAGATTCTAATTTAATGCAAATTGCTTGTTAGTATTCATGAAATACTTTAATTAAATATTTTTTCCTTAGATTGACGTACTCCTTGAATAATCTTTTAGAACTTTTTAGACATATTTATGCATCATTTATGCACAGACCGTAGACTGTATATTTACTTAGTGCATGAGAATATTTTGTTCTTAGTCTCAGCATCTTAGAATTAGAAGATAAAGAATAGAACAGAGGAAATGAGTAAGAGTAGCACCATAATATAGATTTAGACAGATTTTAAGTGGGTACTTTTTACTATTATTAGCAGCATGGACTAAATTTGTGAGAATCTGATGAATACAAGAAATAGATAGTTGTGATTTTGAAATGGGTAGCTGTTTCAGATAATAACATATACTAGTATCATAGTCCAATAGTGTAGTGAGGATTTTTTTTTTTTTCAGAGGTAATAGACCATGCATAACCACCTTTGATAAAGGGGTGGTAAAGCCAGTGGTGAAGGACATGTTAGAATCTCTTGGGCTGAAATGATTAGCCCACCAGAAAAAACCTAAGGTACCCTTCTCTTTATTTTTGTTTCTAGTAGCTGTTATATATTTAAATTCTAGGGAGCACATTTAGCTCAACTCTGGTTCTTGGAATCCTTACCAAATACAGTTAAACCACCTCAGTGGAGCCAAGATCAAGGTGACCTTCGTGTTGCTCTTGTGATTTGAGGGCAATGTAGTATCATAAGAGGTCTACTTTGAAGGCTTCACAGAGTAGTATCATTTCTTTGAGTGATCATTAGTGGCAAAGAGTGAAGGGATTTCACCTATCTTTGCTCTCATGCCACTGTCAGCTTGTAATAATTACATTTTTGGTGATCTAAACTCTTGGAAAATTAGGGAAAATAAAAATGTGATGATGCTCTAGAGGAACACACAACTTAAATTCATTGCCCCCAGCCTTAATTTATAATAACTCTGTGACACTGTATTTTTAAGCAGGGAATTTTCAGATTCTGAAAGGGTTTTTTTTGTTTTTGTTTCTAAGGGATTAGTCAACAAACATAAGAAACTTTCAGCTTTTTTCATCTCACGTGTTTCAAAAGTAGAATAGTATATTTAGGCAGTGTCATCATATCAAGTGTTAGCTTTGTAAAGCTTCTGTTTATGTGGTCCTAAAGTAATTTTTAGTCTTTTTGGATCTTGTAATATTTTATGTAATAATAATAGCCAAGATTATTGAATACTGTCTTTGAATCCTCAGATGAAATGAGGTAGGTACTGTTAATTACCTCCTTGAACAGAGAAGTAGAGTTAGAGAGGCTAAGCCACTAACTAGAGATCACCCCGCTTCTCATTGTTAGACTTGGGATTCAAACCCAGGACTTGACTTCTAGTCTGTGCTCAAAAGCACTCTGAGACTGCATTCAGAGAATAACAACTTTATAAAGCATTTTGGGAAATGATCTCTGAACAAATACAGCATTATAAATTATTCTCTGGTTTTCTTATGTGTTTGAAGAATAATCATGGTTATCTTTAGTGTCTTCGTTTGTACTTTCAAGTGAAAGTTTTTGTAATTTTTTGGTTTAGAATTAGGGGCCTTTTTATTTAGATTTTTTATAATTTATTCCTTGTGATAACTGCTTCAATGAATTTTAGCCACTTTCTTTAACTGGGAACATTTAAGACATTTACTCTAACTTAAGTTACCAAGGAAAGTTATTTCATTTTTTATTTACCTTTCTTGTACTAAATTTTATAGAGACTTAACAAAGGTAGAGAACATTCAGCAATCGATTGTCTACAACACTATTTGAAGTGTTTATTTTAGATTCAAATATAGTATCAGGGAACCCTTCCAACAATTTAACTGTTTGCAACAATGTTGAAAGTGAGATATTTACATTATGTTTTTGGTAATGGGAAGTGTATATATAGTTTATGTAATCTTGGGTATATACAAGATTTGTAAGTTTTTGGTTGCACATAAATATTTGTACCTATATTAAGTTAAATTTTTAACAAAAAGAACAACTCAGGATAACTTTTTCTGAGTTGGTCAAAAAATATTGAAAATGTTAGGTTATTCTGTCAGTTTCATAAAGATAATTACCACACATCTAATATAAACATATTTTTTAGTTTCAGTACAAAACGGTTCGATTCATCAAAAAGATGCTGTAAATGATGATGATTTTGAGCCATACTTAAGTAGCCAGACAAATCAGGTAAGTCTGACAGTCCCATATTTAGGAAATTAAACTTACATTAGTATTAATGGATTTTTCAAATAGATATTTTAATTGAGGCTAACCATGACATGTATCAATCTAGTGTGCCTGCATAATACTGAGTAACAGTTGCAGGTTTGTGGTACAGGAGAATTCTTTGGAAATTCTAGGTGGCTGCAACTAGATTGTGAAATATAAAAATTTTAAGATGGACATTATTTGTATATGGTATGGTAGACTTTTTTTTTTTTTAATTTTGAAAGAATTTAACCTTTTAATGTTGCTGCCGTATCTTCATAGCCAAAGCAAATTACAAGATTTAATTAGCTACACGTTTGTGGGAAAGGAGTAATTATGCCTGAAATTCTGGTTAAATGTAGTGTTTTCTCTTTTATAAGGTATTCCAGTTTGAATTTCGTTGAGAATTAAAGTTTTAATACAGCCAGTTAACGTAGGGAATAGATTTATAAACACGCTTGCCTTCTGTGTTGTAGGCTTGGGGAATTTCATAAAATCAAATAAACTGATGACTTTTGAGGTTCTTTTGTGTTTAGATTTTTCACAGATAATTGAGTTTGTATACAGGTATAATTTAGATTTAAGCATTGAAAAATGAAAGAGTATTCTTTGGTCTCTATATACTGTTTCTGCATTCATTTGTTAATGTAAATTAAAAAAATAAACTTTTATTATTAACCAGTTTTTTGGGAAAGAATATTAAAACTGCTTTTGTTGTTTTGCTTAAAAAAAGGTATATGAAAAATGTACCATGAAATCTTAACTTCTAGATTTTTTTTAAACTGTAAAAGAACAAGGAAACAAATATCATTGTAGGCCTTTAGAGTTGTAGGGAAAGTTTGAAAAGAAGTAGTTCCCAATTTGTGGTATGTAGGATTGTTTTTAGGAGTGTGGAGAGCCATGGTTCTGTTCAACCTGATCTACCCCTTGGTCATTTCTCGTTAACCACCCACTTCTGTCTGTTGATCTACATTCCTAGCTTGTATTGGGAGGGAATAAATAAATGAGAAAGAATAAAAACGGTTGATAAAATCTATGAATGTTTGGCTGCTCATAAAAGAATGAAAAAATTATTTCATACTTATATAATCTAACTTTATGATCTTGGTAACAGATTTACTTTGCACTTAAAGGTTATGAAAGAAATGTATAACTGGAAATTAGGGAGATCATTGTTTTGAATTGCAGTGCAAGTTTTAAAAGAAATGTTCAGTATCCTATTATTTGGGCCCATTCAGTAATCTCAGTTAACATCTCTTATGGTGGCAGTGTTTCCAACTTTTTTTTAGAAATTCTGATATTATGAAGTATAGTAGATATTTTCTCAGAAAGGTCTTCATGATCAGATAAGTTTGGGAAATTGTTTTAAATATTAAATAATTGAATTTTGCTACTTGATTTCATACTTTATGTGTTACAATGTAAAATGATTTTCTAAGACAAGGATATAGTTACAAAGATCCTGTTGTTTTCAAGGAATTTTAATGGAATGTAAATGTTTGAGAATTGTAACCAGTAAGAATTCTCTTATTTTACGTGGTAACAGATTATATACTTTATTTGTCACAGGGGCTTAGAAGATTGTTTTTTTGGCATTCCACAGAGGTGCTTCAGGTCTGCTTAGGGAAGACCAGGGGAGAGTACTCTTGATCCCATTCCCTGAAGCAACCAGAGCTGTGCTCTGCTTTTTATCTGTTTTATATGTTGGAATTCTGCATAAGATTGCACTTGTAAAAAAAAAAACTTTGAAAGTGTCAGAAAACTGTTATTTTCTAACAGTAGAAAAGATTTGTTTAGTGAACCCAATTTTTAAATTGTATTTATAAAAGTTTCCTTATTTTGGGACAAAAATAATCTAAAAAAGATTTGTTTTAATATGATGTTTAAATAGAAAGTTGTATGCTTTCTATTAATAGGTTTTTTATGATATTTGAATATATATTCATGTGCTATTTTTTTTTTTTTTTTTAAGATTTTATTTATTTATTTGAGACAGAGAGAATGAGAGACTGAGAGCATGAGAGTGAGGAGGGTCAGAGGGAGAAGCAGACTCCCTGCCGAGCAGGGAGCCCGATGCGGGACTCGATCCCGGGACTCTAGGATCATGACCTGAGCCGAAGGCAGTCGCTTAACCAACTGAGCCACCCAGGCGCCCCTATTCATGTGCTATTTAAAGAGAAGTTTTAAAATTTGATGCCACTAAGGCTGTACTCTCCTCCCTCTCCTTGTCAGTACTAACGAATAGGTTTTTAGCAATTAGCTTTCTGTAATACTAAAAATAATTATCTGCAACCAGAGCACATATTATTTACCTTTGAAGGAGTACCCACACTATAGAATGTTGAAAACTGGGTTTATTGGAGAGAAAAATTGAAAATTATCTGAAATCTTAGGGATGATTTGTATAAGACTTCAAGTTACTCATAACACCTAGGTAAAAGGGAAAATTTTTAAAAATTGACCTTTTAAAGCAGGTTAGTGAAAACTAGAAATATTGGTGAAATATCTCAAGTAATTAGTTACATACTATTTTTTTTATTTTATTTTTTAAAGATTTTATTTATTTATTTGACAGAGAGACACACAGCGAGAGAGAGGGAACACAAGCAGGGGGAGTGGGAGAGGGAGAAGCAGGCTTCCTGCCTAGCAGGGAACCCGAGGTGGGGCTCAATCCCAGGACCCTGGGTCCATGACCTGAGCCGAAGGCAGACTCTTAACGACTGAGCCACCCAGGTGCCCCATTAGTAACATATTAAAATTATGTAAGCATTTATAGTTCAATGTTCAATTAAAAAATTTTTCAATTAAATGTGTAGTATGTCTTTAAATTAAATTCCTTCATCTGATTTTAATATTGTGAATAAGAAAATGAATCTTTTGTCTGGAAAAGTGTTTAATTTTTTGGCTAATGACTTAAATTGTTTTGTATACTTTAGATCTAATTCAGATCAAATCCAGGGATACTTTAAAAACAGGTTGTTGGCCTTCCGTGGTAACATGTTCTATTTTCTAGTGCTCAGTTTCTTAAGGGATAATTTTTATAGTTATTTGAAAAGTAACTGTTCATCCTTCAGGTCTTAAAATTAGTTCTCTAAAGTTCCCTCAGAATAATCGGGTAATTAAGTTGATTGGAAGATTTAGGTTTAAATGGTACTGTTAAAGATGCCGTGTAATTTGTGCATATAAATTTGAAGAATAACTTGGAAAAATAAGTTTGAGTTTGTCTGCTTGTCTATATGGGAAAATAAATTCCTAGCCATGTTTGTCAGAGAAGTGGAATAGAGAACTAAGAAAGTAAAAAATATTTTGAATTTTGTTACTTACCGTCCTGGCCATCACTGCCCTTAGTTAAGGTTTTCATTATCTCTGCCTGTTGGAGTGATTTTCTAACTAGTAATTCTATATTGCCACTCAGCAATCTTCTTAAAGTCCAAGTCTGTGCACTGTCATGTTAAAGAGTTACCACAGCTTCACAACAGTGGATACATTTGTTCTATGAGTGCCCTTAAAATTGCTCCATTTCCCTCCCTGCCTTGTCTTTGGTCAACTTTCTCCAGTTTGTTTGAGGATATAGGAGTCACTATTTTCTAAGAATATAAATATTTTCTGAATATTTTCTTTCATGATCTCACTCTTTGTATGATCTGTACACACACACACTCCTATATCTATCCCTTGATGAAGTCTCTTCTGATTCTCCCAGTTACTTGCTTCCCTGCTCTTTGTACTAGAGTGGTGGTTTTGCTTTGCTTGTACTTCCACTACAGTACCTATCAAATTTCAGGGTATATGTGTCTTCCCCATTAGACCTGGGAAGTGTTCCAGGTCAGAGTCCATGTTCTTCATCTTTTTGTCTCCAGTGACTGGCACTGTATCTGGCACATAGTAGGCATTTATTAAGTGTTGAATTAATGGATTGCTTTATCTGCTAGAATTAGGGAACAAAGAATTACAGTTGAAATATTTAGGTTAACTGGGTACCACGTATAATACATTTTTTGGTGACATCCTTGTGATTAGATATGTGTAGGGTATACTTTTTAAAAAGTATAATAATAATTTTAAAGTTTTAGAAGAAAATACACATAAGCATTAAAAGTATTCTAAACTGTTCTGGAGTTTGAAGTACCTCAAGTTCTTAATAGAAAACAGTTTTTGTTTTTCTCTGTACGGAAGTGCTTTTATTGGTGAATTACGCCTTTTCCTTTCTAATTGAACTTCTGGGATATTTATAGCTTCTTCTTTCTTGGAAAGAAAGTAAAAATGGATCTTAAGTTTCTGTGTGAAAGACTAGCTATGATTGAGTTGTATTAAAATGTCTCAAGTCAGAGCAGTAATCATGAACTTCTTGTTCAAGTTTTGAGATATTAGAAAAACAGTTGATGTATATCGTAAGACTAAGAAATAATTACAATAAAATTATAACGAAGATCTTTTAATTTTTTCTGTATTTTAGATTTCAAATTAAAAAAAAAAAAACTAGGGATGTCTGAGTGGCTCAGTCAGTGAAGTGTCTGCCTTTGGCTCAGATCATGATCCCAGGGTCCTGGGACCGAGTCCCTCATTGGGCTCCTTGCTCAGAGAGGAGCCTGCTTCTCCCTCTGCCTGATGCTCCCCCTGCTTGTGCGTGCACTCTCTCTCTCTCTCTCTCTGACAAATAAATAAAATCTTAAAAAAAAATTTTAAAAACTAAAGGTAAAAGGCCTTACTCCTATACTTTCATATAGCACTTTGTAGTTAGCACGGTAGATTTTAGAAAATCTTTACAATTGATAAGATCAGCAGGTATTATCCTCATTTTACCAACGAAGTCAGGATTAGAGAAATTACATGATCTGATGAGATCACTGACATAGAAAGTAAAAGATTAAAGAATTGAGTCCATATCCTTGACATAACACCTTGACATATCCTTGACATAACACCATGAGTTTTTATTCTTTAAGATCTGGTATAGGTCTGAAATTATATCTTGTG